GGACGTGCATTCAAACACGGATCGGAATCTAATGAAATTGGCGGGAATCTTCCCAGATTGCATTAAAATGTGTGAAAATTAGCTTTTCAGAATGTTTTGAAAAGTTGAAAAAAGTTAAATGTTGCTCCGAACATTATCATTTTCCAAAACCAAATAGCGCCTGCATTCAGCGGTAATCCACACTTAACACCCACTGAGAGTGGCTGTCACGTGACCGGCCAATGCCGAAAAAAGCGAGCAGAGTAGCCCTGGGAACGAGGCCAACCTGATCAACCGACACAGGAAGCCCAGTTGTCCGTCCGTCCGTCCGTCCGTGTACATCGCGATTCTGATTGGCTACTTTTGAGAAGGCGGGAAACAATCTCGTACCCAGAGCCCGCACTTTTGCCATCCAGCGGATTAGCCGAGAAGACTCTGGGCTCGAGATTGGGCGGGAAAATGAAGCACGCTCGCGTCAATTTTTGAAACAACTTTTTCACCACAACGACGACACAACGACTCCATTTTTGTCCTTTGAAATACTTTACTTCTGCGCCAAATGTCGGAAAATCAACGGATAACGGAAAGCGATCTTTATCTGAAGAAGAACAGACAAGAAGAAGAGAAAGAGAGCGTCGAAGAAGTCTAAGCATAGTTAATAGATTATTAACTATGGTCTAAGTGAAGAACAACGCAGGCTTGAAAGGGAGAGAAAACGTGATAGACGAARCAATTTWAGTTAATAAAGACTCAAGCAAATCGAGAAACGTGAACGCCAAATACAACGATCATTGAGGGAGAATTTCTCATAGGAGAACTGACATATTCTCCGACGATACCGTGGCGTTATTAAACAAATGGCGGTATGTTAGATTATACGTGCAAGCGGTTTTCGGTGCTCAATTATATCAATTCTTCTACTTCAAGAACCTTGGGCAGTTTTAGTCTGGTTTAAATTTGCTTTTGAATTTGAAAATCGTTACCTGATACACTTCAAAACTTCTCAATTAAATGAGCTTGTTGACAATGAAAATATGTGTGAATTGTGTGTACATTCTATCCGCAATAATAATCTTACTTGACATAAAACTACTCGGATGTTTTAAGTATAAAACTATGCATTTTGAAAAGAGAGCCTTGATATTATTTGAATGTTCAGATTTTTACTCTTTATTCTTCAATAAACTCTTTAATACAAACTGTCAACAAATACAGAGAGCAAAGATAAGCAAAGAATTTGAGAAGTTGAAAAATGGATAATCATTATGAACATTAAGCTTATGATTCCTTTAATTGTTTACAAAACTGTCAAAATGTATTATCATTTATGATCACTGTATGTCAAAAATGTATTGAGGTAATTAGTGTCATTCCTGTGTGATTAAATTATTATAAGGTATGTTTCCTGTATGATTGAAAAACCACCAAAACTGTCAAATTCAAATGACCCATAAATCATTTTTTTGGATCACTGTATGATTGACAAATATCAACTGCCAAAATGTATTTATTATTATTTATCATTCCTGTGTGATTAAATAAAGGATATTACATGGGTGCATGGAAATATTGTGCTAACTCGTGGGATAAATAAATTCAAAGCTTGAAGATAAAATTCATATCTTCAAGTGACAGCTGTAATGTTCTGTTTATTAAATGACATTGGTGTAAGCAAAAGTGTGTAACATTTTCATTATAAGATCAAAAATTTTGAACATTTCAAGAACATATTAATTATTAATTTATGATTTATGCATGATTGAATAATACCAAAACTGTCAAAATGCATTTATATTATTTTATGATTCCTGTAAAGATTGAAAAATACCAACTATTAAGAATTTACAAAAAAAATTGCAAACAATTTCAATCTATTGACATATAAAGATGCATTTGTT